GTCGTGTTTGATTGTACAGGTAGGGCTCGTGGGTTCAGAATAGCCACACATATTCAGAAAAAATGGCCTAATAATGTCTCCAGATTAAATGGTGGTTTCTCTGTCTGCTTAACTTTGAATAGTTTACTGCTACTGTGTCAGCTTATTTCATCTGCTCAAGCGCAAACATGTAATCCACTCAACTGAGATAATCTTTAAAGAATCCAGTGTAATGAAGGAGGCATGAAGCTGGCAGAGCTAGAGTAGTCTGTAAATTTAGAAGGAGATAGCTCATCTGTGGGGCTGAAAATCAGGTATCACAGCAGCAAAACTTTTGTGTTACTTGGTGGTGTCAAGAGAGACGTTCTGTGCTCTGGGAAGTGTCATGGGTTAAAGACATGATTGTTTCTATCTTCACATTTTTGGTTTTATTTATACGAACTTTTAGTTTTTCACAGTTTTTTCTTTTTGCTCTTTCTTCTCATTGTTAAAGAGCTTTTTTAATTAAAGGTAATTCATAATTCATCTTTTGTTTTATGGCTACTACAAATTCTTAAATAAGGCTGCTTGCTGTGTTTTTAAGTATGTTCTCCATTTAGCATCATCTTCAAACTTCAAGGATGCTAGTTGAGGGTTCAAGTTCAATTTGGAATGTTTGCTTTTGTCAAAGTAACTTCCCCAGCTACTTTCAGTAGCATTTTTGAAAGGCCCATCAGTAGCTATGAAGATTTTTGCATGGATTAGTAGGCCTTCAGCATCATAGCAGTAGCTCACTTGCCTCTAACAATGGGCAGAGATGAGCAGGTGTTTGATCTTTGCTTTGTATTAAGTCTACACTGTACATACAGTATGAAAATATAAGAGTAGAAGACCGACGTTTCAAATACCTCTTAAACATTTCCTATTGTTAAAAGTATGCATTTTGCATAGACTTTTCCTTAAGTTTTTTGTGTAGGTAGTGGTATTTTAAAACACACAACACAATGCAGTCTTATTTTATGGCATTGAGTAAAAAAAAAGAAATGACTCGGATATTAGGATTGAGATGCCATGTTTGCTCTTTATCGCTTTGACTCATTAAATTAGAACTGTATCTGTTTATAGTTCTACTAAAATAATTTATAGCCCAATTTTCCGAAGTATTTGATAGACTTTTTAATTCATCCCTTTCTTAATTGTATTGATACAAATTTAATGGAAGCCAAGGTAAGTCTGTGTTCTTTTCCATTTGCGAACAGTCAACCGTTTCCCAATGAGTGTGAACAGTCTAGTTAATTTAGGACTACTGACAACACATTTGCTTTTCATTTTTACCTTTTGCAGATCTCTTAGATGTAATCCATGGACCACAGGTTGAAAACTAGTAGTTTACACTGCAACCAGTTCTGCTGCTGTGAGCTGCCTGTAACCGGTCTGTGGCAAGGCTATGCACAGGCTGTGATTAGCACAGTGAATTTGAGTCGTCATTTTGCCGATTTTAACTCTTACAGGAAAAACACTGATCATACAAAGAGCATCTAGCTGGTGGTTGGTGCAGTACAGGACTGTTTCCTGTGACAGGGCTTTTCAACATACTGTGACCTGCTAAACTAGTTCCTACACTGCGTGGTTTCCTGGAGTGATTGACTGGTGTCTAATATTTCGCCTGTTTATATTATTACAGGAATATTAAAAAGTAAACCCACATCATCTTGCCAAATCATATCGATACGCCCTTTCAGTTACTGTTGAAAAAAAGGACAATGTGTTTTCCAAAATATGTGAAATAATGTAGCTATATCACTTCTCTCTTTGTAAAGAGAAGAAAGTGTTATCAATGTTTATCAGATGTTGGAGCATGTACATTTCATGTCTGACTTGAGCAAATTTCCCTGCAATTTTTCTAAGCCAGTAAGTATATTTGCAACATAGATCTTTAATATAATTTTGGAGTTGTTAATTTTTTTGTAATTGTAGGTAAAGAGAGGATGTCAGTTCAATCACTGAAAACATCAAGAGACGCATCACCTTCGGGCTCCACAGCGGTACCCTCATCAAAGGTGAATTTTCTTTTTGAATACTTCTCACTATGGTTTCAGATTGCTCATTGTTGGATTTTTTCCTCAGTTGGAAGGAGATAACTGTATGCAGCTGTTAAGGAAAGGAACATCTTAAATTGCTCTGCAATACAGCAGAGGATGGTTTTCCTTATCTGGCAGGAAGGTGCTGATAATGCTGTGTATCTAAGGAGGACACTGACAAACTTTTTGATTCTATATTCACTGTCTCGTTTTAGGAGAAAGGGAGTGTTGTGGTTTAGTCCGGCAAGCAACTAAATGCCACAAAGCCGCTCCCTCACCCTCCCCCACCACCAGGGGATGGGGAAGAGAATTAAAGGG